ACACTGACCGCAGCCAATGATGCTCGATGATCTGCTGGGAACCGTGTCTTAACCATCAGTCTACTGCGGGACGAGGATAGATTAGAAAACACATCAGTGTTCGGAGTACCAGGCAGTTCCACTGAACTTTAAAAAATACATCAGTGAAGGGTATACCGAGCCGTAGCTTTAACATCACCTAGTACAGTAGGGAACCGATTATCCGGAACAAAAAGCCATTTTTTTATTGTTAAACCCAACTAAAAAAAAAAGAACATATTTGGAAATAATCTTAAAAAGAAGAAAAAAACGATAAAGTAATACTCTAATGAGTATTTCCAAAATGATGGCAAGGTAAACAAACATCTTTAAAAAAAGAACGAAAAATCCTGAAATCTTATGTGGAAAAACGCATTTTTTTGAAAAAAAATGGCTGGAAAATTTATCGAATTTCGTTCCGGTTTTTTGATCTTCCGGTTTTCTGATTTCCGGATAACGGGTTCTGTACTGTATATATTTCGGACATTCACAGTAACACACACACATATAAATGTGATGGTGAGATGATTGAGTTCAAAATAAACAATAAATTATGAAGTACATTGCGTTTAATGTTCATTAAGGGATAACCTTAATTTAAAAAATGAAGAGATTTAATGCTACCGAAAATCCTTCGTCCTAGGATTAATTCCCGATTAACCGGGTCTGTGCTAGTGTTTATTTATTCTTGGATAGAAGATGCATGGTATAAAAGTTTATGATTTTAATTTCTTATTCACTTGAGATTCAGACATCAGATATGAGGAGTGGATCAAGCTCAGTTGTTAAGCCAGTCATTTTTGCACACAGTTATAAAATTCGCTTTTATCCAAAGATAATTCCCAGCAAAAAATTAATTCTAGCAATTATTCTTTATTAAATATTTGTGGGAAACATTTTGAATTGTAAGGTATACAATTTTTCACATCATCGGTTGAATACTTCCTGAGAAATCGAATTCTAAATATACTTTTTTCTTAAATTCAATTTCTCAGAAACTATTCAACCAATTTTGCATTCCCCATGTAAAATGATATTCTTTAAAATTATGGAAAAAATAGTATAACTTTTTTTGGACCATTCTTAAATAAAATAATAAACATTTACTAAAAGCTGTTCTTTCTATGGAATTATCTTTGGATAAATGAATTTTACAATAGTGTGCAAAAAGTTACATGTATCCTATATTTTGATAACTCGTAATCACGATTACAGTTTTAAATAAAATTATGAATGTTTATAATCACTATTGCAGTTGTAATCAAAATTATGAATGTTTAGAATCACGATTGCAGTTGTAATTATGATTAAAAGTAATTTATTACTGTAATCGAAAAATGCAATCGTTTAAATTTTTTCCAACTCTGATGTAATCAGAAATTATGATTACTTGTTATTGCAATTACTTGTAATTGTGATTACAAGTAATTGATTACATAACAGTAATAATGAAGTAGCATATTAATAGCAGAATCAATTACAGTTGTAATCAATTACTGTAATCGTCGCCACTCTGGTCAGCACTATTTATGCATATAAGGAGTATTACAATTAGCATTAAGATTAGGCCTTTAAACCATCAAGATCAATTAATCAAATGGTATCAAAGTATTCTTTTTTTAGTCCCTATACAAAATTAAGATTAATAATAAAGAAATTCACACAATAGACGTAAAACTGTAAAAAAATTTTTTTTACTTAAATATGAATATTGACAATGAGAAAAGGAACAAGTTTTAAATCATCAATATTATCCCATTTTTACAGTCAAATAGAGTCCAATTTTAATAAGAACATTCATGAATTTCTTATAGAAGAATTCACAGTCATTCAACTATGTTGATTACTTTAATGCCAAAAATTACACAAAGTTCAGGACACAGATGTTATATACAAATATGTACAATTACAAAAATTGTTAATACAGATGGTAAAACACACATTTTGTTCTTAAAAAAAAAATACCTTTAAGGTTTGAACCACAATGTAATAGTTATGTGATAACGTATGACACTGAATTTTGAAAATATTTTGTACAAAAATATTTACACAAAAACATGTTTAAAAAAGAACTTTTAATATAAGTGATTCTTAATAATGATTCTAATGGAGAAAAATACAGTTGAAAACGTTGGTTATATAGTTATGTTTTATTGGTAAATATAACTATAAAGCAAATAATTAAGATTATTGTATGCAATTTCTGAAGAACACAACACGCAAACTATTTATTTAATTCCATTTAAAAGTGAAAAAAACTCTAATTTTATATTCTTCCATAATTTTCTTAAAAGACTTGTACATTATAGACAATAAATTTTTTCACTTTAGAAATATGTATTTTAACTTCCGTATACATTGATAGAAACTTAGGCATAAAATAATGTATTTATCTCAATTACTTGAGCATTTCTTGCAATGATTTATTTTGAGAAAATTTGTAAATGCCTCCAACAAAATTAAAAGTTGTCCCTTTGGCAAGTAATTACAAATTATTATTCCGCATTTACATTGTTAAAGCATTCAAAATTATTGGCATTTTTCAGTTGAAGCAAAACAAAAACATGAAAAGTATCAAAAATAAACAAACGAAAGATGATTCTTTTTTTCATGCCTTTTCAAATGCAGTCTCAATTAAAAATGAAATAAATAATAATTATCATGAGATTTGTGGAGAAAAAAAAAAGAGCCTGGACAATATTAAGACAAGGATAGGAAGTATAGAAATAGAACTTTTACTCAAGCCCATTTAGAATTAAACAAATTTTAAGCAAAAAATATGCAACCAAAAAATCCCAGATGTTCGTAATTAATAATTCCAATCCTGTTAGCATGGAATGGTGATGTGAGCCACATATTTGTTTTGGTGATGAAGACGAAAATTTATTAAAAAAAATTTTTTTTAACTTAATGGTGTTTAGCATTTTTTTTTTTTTTTTGAAAAAAATATGATTAAAAATGATTTCAGTAAGCATTTCAGTAAGCTAAACATAATTTAAATAAAAAAATATTTTTTCAATTTAATTTTCCTGCTAGTTTTCCTTTTCTGAATAAATTTAAAACATATTACTTCTTAAAAGAATTAATAAATTCCAAGCTCCAATAAATAAACTTTAAGTACTTTTTTTTAGCAAAACAGCTATTTCTCCATGTTTATTGTATTAATCATTCTTATTGTTTTAAAACCTGAAAACCTACCAAATGCAACATTTGAATACAAATATTTAACCTTGTGCTCTGCAAACAAATTTTAAGAATTTTTTAATGGAGTTACAGATTAATACAGGGGTGATTGTGAGCCCAAGTTAAAATTCCGGAAAATTTCTTGAGTTAAAAAAAAAAAANAAAAAAGAGCCTGGACAATATTAAGACAAGGATAGGAAGTATTGAAATAGAACTTTTGGTCAAGCCCATTTAGAATTAAACAAATTTTAAGCAAAAAATAATGCAACCAAATAATCCCAGATTTTCGTAATTAATAATTCCAATCCTGTTAACATGGAATGGTGATGTGAGCCACATATTTGTTTTGGTGATGCAGACAAAAATTTATTAATAATTTTTTTTTTTTTAACTTAATGGTGTTTAGCATTTTTTTTTTTTTTTNTTTTTTTTTTTTTTTTTTTTGTAAAAAATATGATTAAAAATGATCATTCACACAGATTAAAAATGATCATATGATTAAAAATGATCATTCATCAGTAAGCTAAACATAAATTTAAAAAAAAAAATTCAATTTAATTTTCCTGCTAGTTCTCCTTTTCTGAATAAATTTAAAACATATTACTTCTTAAAAGAATTAATAAATTCAAAGTTCCAATAAATAAACTTTAAGTACTTTTTTTTTTTTTAGCAAAACAGCTATTTTTCCATGTTTATTGTATTAATCATTCTTATTGTTTTAAAACTTGAAAACCTACCAAATGCAACATTTGAATACAAATATTTAACCTTGTGCTCTGCAAACAAATTTTAAGAATTTTTTAATGGAGTTACAGATTAATACTAAGGTTTATACTACTGGAAGTTAAACAAACACTTGATAAGAAACTTATCACAATAATACTTCATTAAAATTTAAAAAAAAAAAAAATTTTAGATAAATTTTACAAATACTTCATTAAAATAACTTGATAATCATATCAGTTTCACAAACGGTAATCTTTATGCAAATGTAAAATAAATTTTGAATGAGATGTGGATTTAAGTCTGCACATTTTTCATTACTAAACTATCCACTTAAACATATTTTTAAAAAAATGCCTATTCAAATATTTTCCAATTAAATATAAAAAAAATAATATGATTTACATACTTTATTCTTTTTGTAAAAAAGCTTGAAAAACCATTTATTTTCATTCAAAGCATATACTAATTTTGCAAGCCTTCAGGCAGCATATTTCTCAAAATAACAAGATTAAGTTACATGCATAACTAATACCATACTTAAGATATTTACAAAAATTGGAGATAACAATTGGGGATAACAACACCTAAGTCTGAGATGACTTTGTTTTTGCTTCAGAAAGCTTTATTAATCCAAGAAAACTTAAAAATAAAAAATAATCTAATAGACTACTATCATATAACCATTTCACCAAGTTGCAGTACTGTTCAATCAGGAATATTTTGCACCTTTTTTATACGGTAACCCTCATATAATAAAAATGCTGAGAAATAAAAAGCTGGAGAATTATTTACTTAATGAATATTTAAAGTAATTATTTTAAAAAAATTTCAACTTTAAGTTTTTTCGTGTATTGAAAAGTGTATAAAAAGAAAAACTAGGCATTTGATTTTTGCTTTTCTTTCTTTAAAAGAGAAAGAAATATAACTATAACAGCAGCCCTAATTCCATATCTTCATAAAATAGTAACTGTTATGCAAAATTTTGAACATGAAAATAAATGCGCTGATATTAAATACAATATGCATTGAGTTATGAATGACAAGATTTAATTTCTCAAAAAAGAATCACAAAATAAAAAATAACACATGCTTATTTATTTTTCATTTAACATGTAATTTCAAACCAGTGTGAATTTTACAAAAATGTTTATCATTGCAAAAACAGTAAAAAAAAATTATACATAGACAGCTAATTGTATGGCGATTTTGTTTGCAATGTACAGTATTTTTCTGCATCATATTAATTGAATTCACGCAAAACAAAATAATAAAGACTAAAGTTAAGATTGTTATTTTTTCTTTTAAACTACAAAAAACTCTGGTCATATTGCTTACAATTATTGCTAGCACATGGCAAGATGTAATTTCAAACCTGTGTGAATTTTACAAAAATGTTTATCATTGCAAAAACAGTAAAAAAAAATTATACATGGACAGCTAATTGTATGGCGATTTTGTTTGCAATGTACAGTATTTTTCTGCACCATATTAATGGAATTCACGCAAAACAAAATAATAAAGACTAAAGTTAAGACTGTTATTTTTTCTTTTAAACTATAAAAATCTCTGGTCATATTGCTTACAATTATTGCTAGCATGTGGCAAAAATGACATTTGCTTTAACATTTAAGTGATTATCTAAACGCCAACTAAACAAGCAGATATCTTTTAATTAAATTTTGCATTTATACATGTTTTAAATAAGAATTTATCGCAATATAAAACTGAGGATAATATCTTATAATCTTAACACTTTTGGTAACTTATATGATTTGCTGAAATGCGTCAGAACCTTTCAGGCATGCCCATGCATTAAATATGCTTTAAGAAGTACAGTTTTAATTTTACTAATTTGAATAGTTAAAGTAGTAAAAAAATATTGAATTACTGGAACAATAAATTTTGAATTACTGGAAGCAAACAAGATGTTGACACAGTAAATAAGTTATTGACACATAACTTGTGGTAAATGAGTGAATTAATGAATGAGAAAACTATTAATTGATAAAAAAATAAAGGCTAAAAATTGAAAATCATTAACTGTTCTTCTTTAAATCTTGTGCTGCAACAAAATCGCTGACACTTAATATCCTAGACGCACATTTAGATACATATCTGAAAAGACAAAAAGAATAAAATGATTTGCTGTATAACAAATGAACAACTATAAGTTTTAAATACAGTAGGGCCTGTGTAATACAACATTGATTGTTTCAACATTGATTGTTTAGTACTCAATTTTGTTTTATTTATTCCCGATAATACTTTTCCTTAAACAGCTGAATAAAAAACAAGCTTTTGAGAAAAGGCATACACCAGGGGGTTTGCTTGTTAAATTTGAAATTCCGTTAAATATAGGCTTTTATATAAGATTTTTTTTTGTATAATTCCAGGTATGAGAGTGTAAAAAAAAAGGTATCTGAAATAAAATAAAAAATTAAAATAATGTACTTGAAAGAGAATTAAGCAAGCTATTTCTCTTGCAGAAAATTACTTAAATTAACAATATTTCAATCTGCATGCTGCTTCAAAAAATAAAAAATTGAATAACAAATAATTTAAACTTATATAACGATAACTTATAGCGGAGCTACGCAGTAATTAATTATTCAACTCACTATGAATTAAAAATATACTTATTTTAATAGTTATTTTTAAATACATTGACAACAATAGTAAATTTAACATGTTTTGTTTGGTACAATATTATGCATTAGAATATACTCTTTTAGCAATCTTCACTTTTCTTGGATTTAATAAGAAAAATAATTTTGGAAGCATTGCAAATTACAATGAAGCCTCCAAAAAAGACCACCTCTGTGTAGCGACCCTCTCTATTCACGACCACTTTTGGGGGGCCCGGAATTCTTTCCTTAGACTTGTGTATAAGAAAACTTTTAGGGGAAACCATTAAAACCTCTCTGAGCAAATTTCTGAGAAAAGGGGTACACCAGGAGGTTATTAAAACAAAACAAATATGTAGGTTTGCTTGAGGCTCTTACTTAGAGAGTTCTTGTTGGCAATACAACCTCTTATTGCTGTCAGAGTACACTAAAGACGATATCAATGGTTCACTTTTAGAGGCGAAAGTTAAATTAGAAAAAAAAAAGCAATTTTTGAAAAAACAAGCATCTCAAACATCTTCTCACCTTTTAAAGCTAACAAACTTTTATGATATAAAATTAAATGCAAACTTAAACAAAAAACCTAATTGTTTATGTATTTAAAATAGTTTTATCATTCATAATTGGTAAATTTGTTTTTAAACATAATTATACCAATTGGGATCATTTTTATAGACACTTAATTTCATTCATTGGTTTGTTTTCACGTCGCCAACAAAAAACGGCATTTACGCACCAAGAAAATGACATCGTCTAAAATTGAAATCGTTCGTAAAAATCATGTATTTTCGATAACAATTCTGAAGTCAATGGAGATAACCTCTAAGAATGATCAACCTCCATTTTTCTGCGGAACAGAAAGCGGTCCACTCCCGACAGGTTTAACTGCTTTAAAAATAATTATATAAAAAAAATTGTACAGTACTCTACTAATTATTTTAAATTATTAAAAGTATTTTGGTACTTAATTATTGTGAAATATATTTCTGCACAATTCAAATATGTAAAATAGTTTATTCCCTTTTTCCATGTAATGGACAACAGATGCTTTCAGAGAAAAGGGAAATGCCACCCAGGCTAGATGTCATGAAAAGGGTGTGAATATCGTCAGAAATGTACACATCTGGTTGTAGAAGCATTTCCAGTTTCACACAGTCAAATACATAAGAAAACCTCATTCCCAGCACCCCATACTTAAACTTGAATGCATGCTTTTTATTCTTCTGTTTAAAATGTCAGAAAGTTTCATCCGTAAAAAAACGAGTTGAATGTATAATCTCTCAGATAAAGGTAAAAAAAAAAAAAAAATATCATAAGCTGCAGTAAGTAATTAAAATATGTAAAAAGAAGCAATGCACATNAATGTGGTATTGCTTTTATGATGTTTTGTTACTTTTATATATATGTGGTATTGCTTTTATGATGTTTTGTTACTTTTATCTTTGCTGCACTGCTCTGCACTGCTATAATTACTTTAAAGTTTTAGTTTCTCTTTCATAAGTTTTCACCTGCCCTTTTCTGCCCTTAAATAATTTAGCCAAAAATAAAAATAAATAGCAAGCATAGCCCTACTTATTTTGTGATGGTGGTAACAGCCAATAAGAGTGGAGTATGCTTTGGAGGCTTGGTTAGAGGAGGTGAGAGAAAGGGCAAGGACACACATGGTTTTGGAGAGCTGAGGTTAAGATACAAAAATATGAGGATCCTCAACAGCTAAGTTATATTACAAAATTTTCTATCACCCCATAATTATTTTTTATTAATTAGCAGTGCAGCTTCATAATGCATAATTTAATGTTAAATTTTTTATGTACCTATTATTAATTGGAGTGAATGCCTTCCTGGAACAAAATTTGTAACTCTAAATATCTTAAATGATCTATATTAAATAAATAGTTTTAACACCTTGCAATTAGTGATCATTCTAATGATCTTGTTCTCTTACTTAAGAGTATATTATTTTTAATTGTTCTTCATTTTTATTCTTAGCTTAATGTGTGTGGTGATGAACTGAACATCACCACAAATGACAACATTTGGTTGCAGAAACATTTCTAGTTTCATTGTCAAATACGTAAGAAAAGCTCATTCCCAGCACCCCATACTTAAACTTGAATGCACGCTTTTTATTCTGTCGTTTAAAATGTCAGAAAGATTTATCCGTAAAAAAACGAGTTGAATGTATAATCTCTCAGATAAAGGTAAAAAAAATTATAAGCTGCAGTAAGTAATTAAAATATGTAAAACAAAGCAATTCACATAAACTTTTTTGTACTAACTTTGAATTGGAATTTAGCGAGGAATTTTTTTTGTTTTTCCAATCTTTCATTATAAATGGGCTCTACTATATTTACTTTAATTACATCAAACAAAGTAGAATTGTTTCAAATACAGTGAATTCTCGCTACTACGATATCCAATATAATAACTTCCCTTTTTACGATAATGTTTCATTGTACGGAAAAGCTTGCATATGAATTAATGTCATGCTCATCTCAATGTTACGATATTCTCTGAAGCCTCTGGAAGACGACTTTTCCCCAAATTTCACCCTCATTTTTCCCATTATTATTGTTTTTTAAATAATGCAAAAAATCTTATTTTATCATCTTTTGCCACTTTTTCTGACAAAACAAGACTCACTGTTGATCACCCCAAGAGCTTCCATTATTAGAATTGCATCCCTCATCTCTAAAGTAGTCACACATCTAACTTTCCTATCTGATTTCATTTCCTTAATCATATTATTTTCAAAAAATGTTTTCCAGGTATGTTTACAATATTTTCTGAATTTATTTCAATTGTTTTTAATATTTAACCAAGATTAACACTCTGCAAATTAATTTTTTGCCTAACATATAAATACATTTACAGTTACATAGTATATAACATTAAAATTAATAAAAAAATCTTATCGAGCCCCCAAAGTATAACAATATATCCCTCTACAACAATATATTAATTTGGTCCCCAAAATATTGCTGCAGCGAGGTTTCATTGTAAATATTTTGGCATAAGTAATAAAGTTTAGGATTAGCATTCATCGAAGACAATAACATTACCCTACTTCCCAAAACTGCAAAAAGTCAGCACTCATTTTAGATAAATGTTCAGTTAACTACGGTTAATATTTAGCAAAAAGACTCTCCAAAAAGTAATGCTTATGGTAAATGGTTATAGCTAAAGAATGCCATTTTTTACATATAAAATATATTCATACTAAAATAACATTTAGCAATTAAAATATTAATAATAAAAATCCCACATGTAATGTGTACAAGTAAGTCACACATGTTATACTCACTTTAAAAACTCAAAAAGATTTGTAGTTAGTAACTGTATACTGTCTTCATCTAACTGGGTATATGCAAGAGCTCCTCCAATCTTACCTTAAAAAAAATAAATAAATAAATAAATATATTAGTTAAATCTTAAATTTATTTGTATAAACATTTAAAAATTAGTAAAATAATATTCAAGTATTATAAGGAATTTTCGTAGCGTATCTACCACTACAAAATTACAACTACAATTCACTAGTATATAAGACATGTTAACTCAACTCTATGTCGGGGTACCTTTTCATAGATGAAAGTTGACATTGTCAATAACTTCTCTCCCCACATTGGTGACCTTTGGACGTGATGTGAACACGCCCACTTCGATATGAACACACCTACCTAGACAGTAACGCCTACTTCGATTGATGGTTTACATGGAACAGTTGACTTGCTACTTGTGACTGCGACATTATCCACCTACTCGCACTGTTGCTTGTTGCTACTCAGTCTCACCTCGATCACACAAAATGTCAACTTGCATACACCTGACTGCTAAAGGCAACACAGGAGCGACTACGACCATGATCTTCATACAGTTCTCATGATTAATGTTCAAAACCCGATGACCTTAATCCAGCTCTCCCGCTCTGTCACAAATACAGCAACTAGTGATATCCATGTATTGAATTCTATCACAGCTATAATTCTGGTGGGAGAGTACTGTAGTGTGTCTACCACTACAAAATTACAACTACAATTCACTAGTATATAAGACATGTTAATTCGACTCTATGTCAGGGTACTCTTTCTCAGATGAAGATTGACAATGTCGATAACAACTAGCCCCATAATTTTAAAACATTTTTTTCCCTCATTAAATCTTTGTTAGCAAAATTTTTCTTTTCTGAGAATTTATAAATATTCAGTAAACATAGAGAGATATGGATTTAGCAAATTTGCGATTAAACAAATACATACGTCAATTTTTTTGATAATAAGAAATATACTTGAAAGCAATAATTATTTTCTTATTTCCAAGTGTTAAAGGTAGTTTGAAAGTTTTTCTAACACAAATAGTTCAAAAAAATTGCAAAACTCTGAAAAATACCACAGAGATAGTAATCAAATATTCACATACATAAACTTAATACTAAAACTAGCTTTAGCCAAAAGACAAATAATTGAAATTGTAGGAGATTTACAGAAGTGTGCAAAAAAGTAGCAGTAACAACAGAATAATACCAAATAGCCATAAGATAATTATGGACAAACTGATCACTGAACTAACTGACTAAACTGATCACTTTCAAACATTCTCTGAAAATTTCATATAACAAATTGAATTTTTTGCAAATTTCCTGCGAGCCCAGATTATGCAATGAAGTAATTTTTTAAATATTAACAAATTAGATCATAAATGTTTTGCATTTTCAGAAAACTCTGTCTTTTCCCCAGATTGACATTTATCACCAATTTTATTATTAGAATCGATGGGGTTGGTAAAAGATAGGCAAAAACAAATCTAAATGAACCATGACGGAATAACTATTAAAAAAAAAAAAAAAAAAACAGTCTTGAAATTACAAACCCAGTAAAGAACATTGGAGAGGGGGAGAAAATATTCTTTCAGAATATTTCTGATCATATATATACATATATATATATATGATCTGATATACATATTAATGTGTATATAAATATATATATGATATAATTTTGCATCACGAAAAGTCTTTTCGAGGCGGAGTCCCTCAACTATGTTTATGTCCAGTAATAATGAGAAAAATGCTTCAGAACAGGGTTGCCACAGAAAAAAATGAACAATATAGTTGCTTTTAGCAACCTAAAGCATTCAAAAAGTTGCCAAAAACTATGAAAATAGTTGCCTAAATAAGAACAAAAATATGACTAAAATTTTATTAAATGACTTAATTGTCATATACAATGATCTATTTAGTCGTGTTGGTGGCAAATTTGATGTTTTTTTATACAAAAATGAGTGTTCCAGAACTAAATTTTTATATCAAAAAAATTAGTACACTTGCAGAAAATTAAATACTTTTAATTACTAAAAATCATTAAAAAAAATATTTTTTTATTAAAAAAAACATATTTTTTCTAAAAATTTTTCATTTTAACTAAGAATTGATTTAGCAAATATATATATGCATATATATATATTGCAAAAAGTGATTATTCAAATTCGAAATCCACACATCGTAATATTGTATTAAAAATTGGGTTTTCTAAAATCATACAGAATTTCGTTGCAATGACCGTTGAAGAGGCAATCTAGAAACAAAATAGATTTACAATGGAATCTGTTTAAATTAAGAGCATTAATAAGTGATGACCCAAATTTGTAATTCAAATTTTTTTTAATTTTGTGTTTAGAAGCTATTGCAGGCCGCAGGTTGTCAACCCAATTTATGCTTTAAAAAAAAACATCGCTGGTGAGCAGAAAAGTCTCCCAAAAGTCTTCTTTCCCCGAAAATAGTTGCTTTTTTTTTAGCCTTTTCAGGCAAAAAAAGTTGCCATAGTCGCCTCAGGTCAAAAATAGTTGCAAATAGTCGTATTTTAGTTGCCTGTGGCAACCCTGTAGAACGATTCAGAATTTTTTTTTAATGAAGAGACTATTAAAACCATAATCATTTCATGGAACATAATAAGTATTAATTTTATTCTTCTTCTATATCTTCCTATTATTCTTCTGACATAATTTTCTATAAGATATATAACTTAGAACAATTCTTAGAATCAAAAGTAGTATGTTAATGATACATGTATTTTTAGTCCTTTTTTTCTTTTCTTTTAATGAACTTTTTATTTATTATATTTTAGATGAACTCCTTTTTAAGTAATTTTTTTTATTAATTTTAATTTCATATTTTTAATTTTAAGAGCAATTTTGATTATGAATTAATTATTTTTTACAAAAATCACTCAATAGTTTTCATTGAATCTTATATTTTAAATCACATGATCCAAATACAAGAATTGAGTTTTTCTAAGTACAGTACACTCTCGATTATCCGTGCGCGGATTATCCGTGCTCATTCCGGAGTCACACAAAAAATATAAAGAGAAACATTTTCAAGATTAAAAATATTTGATTCATGAAGTTATAACGCTACCAAATNAAAAAATTAGTATATTTGCAGAAAATTAAATACTTTTGATTACTAGAAATCACTCAAAAAAATATTTTCTCATTAAAAAAAACATACTTTTACTAAAAAAAATTTCAGTGTAAACAGATCTAGCAAATATATATATACACATATATACTGCAAAAAGTGATTATTCAAATTTGAAATTCACACATCGTAGTATTGTATTAAAAATTGGGTTTTCTAAAATCATACAGAATTTCGTTGCAATGACCGTTGAAAAGGCAATCGAGAAACAAGAGACTTACAATGGAATCTGTTATGTTTAAATTGAGAGCATTAATAAGTGATAATCCAAATTTGTAATTCAATTTTTTTTTTAATTTTGTGTTTAGAAGCTACTGCAGATCACAGGTTGTCGCAGATCACAGATCACGTGCAGAAAAGTCTCCCAAAAGTCTTCTTTCCCCGAAAATAGTTGCTTTTTTTTTTAACCTTTTCAGGTAAAAAAAGTTGCCATCGTCGCCTTAGGTCGAAAATAGTTGCATTTTAGTAGCTTGTGGCAACCCTGCAGAACGATTCAGAAATTTTTTTTAATGAAGAGACTATTAAAACCATAATTATTTCATGGAACATAATAAGTATTAATTTTATTATTCTTCTGACATAATTTTCCATAAGATATATAACTTAAAACAATTCTTAGAATCAGAAGTATGTTAATGATACATGCATTTTTGGTCATTTTTTTTTCTTTTAAAGAACTTTTTATTTATTATATTTTAGATAAATTCCTTTTTAAGTAATTTTTTTTATTAATTTTAATTTCATAATTTTTACTTTAAGAGCATTTTTGATTTTGAATTAATTATTTTTTACAAAAATCACTCAGTATTTTTCATTGAATCTTATATTTTAATTCACATGATCCAAATACAAGAATTGATACTAATTAGAGTTTTTTAAAGTATAACTATTCGCTGTTAAGTGAAAGGTTGGATATTTATTTTCTACTTTAACAATATATAAAATTTAAAAAATTTAATACAACTAAGACTGTAACAAAAGACTTTAAAGATCGTAATTGAAAATTATAACTAAAGATTAATAAATTCTTATTTTATCCTTATTAGGCATTTATTTACATCTTATTTAATTTACATGAATTACAAATTTATTCTGATTATTCATTTTATATTAAATTTAAAAATACAGGTAATAAAATCATTATTAAAAAAAAAAAGACAATATAAATAAGGCACCAAAAATTGAAAGAGCATTATTCTTAATTTTAAGTTTATTTTTGATGAAAGCTTTTTTCTTTTCATTCTTTTAAAGGCATTTTCAAGGATTTTAAGTCAACCTCCTAGCTCTGCTTTTAATACTCATATAAAACAATTAATAGCTTATTTTTGGCAACTTCTAAAGATTTTTGGATATATTTCAGAATAATGAATTATTTCTAAATTCAGAAATATTTTGATATATATTTTATGTTTCATAAGAAAATAAAAACTTTTTAAGCTGCTAAATATTTATAAAAAACACTGATATCCATGGATATAGAATCAAGCACAAATAAAATACTTACTAAATAGTCTTAGTAAGTGAAAACCTCCATACAGGTGAGATGGAGTTAAATCTGGATTTTGTGACATTATCTAAAAAGATATATAATCATTAAGAATGATAAAAGAAAATATATTAAGTTCAATGATATCAAAATAATTTGTTAGCAAATGACAGAGAACACAAGAAATATGATTTAAAAAATACAGAAACTCAGTACAAAATATTAAAAAAAAAAAAAAAGTTGTTAATAGCATTTCTTAAATTATTTAAGAAATGCTCCCTCCCCCTTACAACTAAAAGTTTCTGTTACACAAATTTTGAAGCAGCTATTCATTGGGTATTACAAAACAAATTGGAAATTAAAAGCTAAGTAATCGGGTTTATATGGGAGTACAGTAGAGCGCCGATTATCCGAACCCTTATTATCCGACTGTCCAATTATCAATATACTATGTCCTGATTCATATTTTTTTTTTTTTTTAAAGTTTAGAATACTTTTTTACTTATTGACACTTTCTCTAAATTTAGAAGAATAAATAATATGAATTATAATAATTTTAGAAGAATAAATAATATGAACACATTTGAAGACCATATTTAATTTACAACTTTTTTTAGCAGTTCTCTTATAGTAGCCAATACATACATGTATTGTTATACAGTTAAACCTACATACCCGTTTAGCCCTCTTCAACTGAAAATTATCTTCCAAGTATGCGAGCTTCAATTTGACAGTCTACAATGGTTGAAATGAAGAAGGAGTTTATGAGTAGATATGTGCTGAAGTTCTACAATTGGGGGATGGGTACTTGTCAATTATGGTTAATGATTAGTGATTACAGTGCTTGGAATCTTAAATCTTGGAATAAAATTGTTAACAAAAAAATAAGCGAAAATGAAGTTTCTAAACCAGTAGATCTTCCCGATGAAAAGATGCTAGGTTATACAGCAGAAGAAATAGAAGACTGGTGTCGAGGCACTGAAAACGCCCCACAATTTCAAATTTTAAATGGTCTTGAAATTGTTGCTGAAATTTTGAATGAAAATCGGAACTCTACAGACGAAGAGGAAGAAGTAGGTGATCAAATTCAAGATAGTGGATCTTCTCAAATAGAAGCATGCAATTCATTAGATATTGCAATGAATTGGCTAGAACGTCAAAATGATGTTGATCCAGTTCAGTTGATTTATTTAAAAAGAATAAATGGCTGCTCAAAAGAGAGCATCTTCTTTTAAACAAAAGAATTTGCTTGATTTTTTTTGCAATGCAAAAGAAAGAAAAATGTGTTAAAATCAGCAATAGATAAAAAAAAATTTTAAAAAGCTGAAATATGATAAAAATAATTCAAAATGAAAAAAAAGTTTTAAAATAAATAAATAAAAATATTTAAAAATTGGAAAAAAATAACTTCTAAACACGCCAGAGCTATTTAAGATAGTACTGCCAGTATTAAACCTAGAAAAAATGTGAAGGGAAGTTAGTGCATAAATAATAATAATTTAAACTAGATTTTAAGCAACTTTCCAATTATCCGAACCTTTCATTATCCGAACCACGTTCGGTCCTGAGCAGTTCGGATAATCGGCGCTCTACTGTATTAAATTAATTGGGTATTAAAAAACAGAAAAAAATTAAGGTTGTAGTGACACTGCAAGAATTCTTTATGAGCATCAAACTTTAACTAAGTAAAATATGGTTAAACGAGATATTTCTTAATTTATAATTAAATAATAAATCATAGCTAATTTAAAAAATACTCGAGTTGTTAAAATTTTTAGTATACTATTCTAAAGCTGCCAACATACATAGCTGCCTCATTACATATTCATTATATATTAGTAATCACATAATTATATCAGGGTTGGGGTTTTGGACATCCTAAACTGGTTTTGGACAGGACACGTGGGTTTTACTGTCTTAAACTGGGAAAAACTGTCCTAAACCGGGTAAAACTGTCCTAAACTGGGTAAAACTGTCCTAAACTGCCTTAAAGTGTCCAAAACCTTGAACTTTGGTAAAAGGTAAAAATTTTGCAAGGTGTAACTATTGTACACATAATAATTACATGTATCAATAAATATTTGATATTTTTTATAGAATTTACTATAACTTATTAAAAGAAAATAATATAATATAATGGGAAAAGGTTTCTAATTTTTGAAGCTCCACAATTCATTGAACAACAAAAGTGAATACCTAATCCTTAAATATAAATATGCTTTTAGTACTGATAAATAATATTTTTGCATAAGGATAAATATGACAATTTTAAAAAACAATATTTTTTCTTTAAAAAAAAATACTAAATTTGTTCAAAAATTAACCTTTTATTTGTCACAATATATTTTTAATAAAATGTTATAATTTCTGCATTACAGGATGATAAAAAAGACATCTATTTTTAAAAAAAATTGTTTTTAAATATAAAAATATTAGTTTAAATTGAAAATACAAAATAACTGAAAGATGTATTAACAGTTTTGAAGGGCATAACATCGGTTTGTTACTGACACTGGTGATGTATCACCACTATGCTAAAAGAATTGAACATGAATGAAATAAAAGTATTCTTGAATAGTACTATAGATAAATAAACCTGTTTATGACGAACCAAGCACTTAGTCCCTAATATTTTAACCTGTATGGCAAGGCCAAACTTCAATTATGTACTATTGAATGAGAGGACCAATTGAACTTGATTACTGATTAATCTTCCTTTGTTTAAATTGAAGAGTCAAACAATATTAATAAAACATAATACTTTTTAAAACAAATATTCTCTAGTATATTTAATTATCAGTATGTTATTAGTTCTATGTTTATTTTACCTCTTAAATATTGTTCAGATAAAATTGTGACATAATTTGAGTAAAAGGGTTTTGGACAGTTTAAGACAGTTTTGGACAGGACGGTTTAAACCAGGGATTAAACCATGGATTAATCCATTCTGTCCTAAACCTTGCCAACCCTGATATTATATATTAGTAATATTTATTTAAATATTCAAGCAAGCAATAATCTATAAAAATTCTATTTCAATAGGGTTTATTTTAGAAAACTTACTCAATTTTAGGGAATTTTTTAAAATGTACAAAAACCAGAAACTGGCAAAATCCAGTAGTCAACTGGAAAAACCAGTAGAGTTGGCAGCTATAGCTATATTATTTCCTTGGCATTAAGAAGAGTTTAATGAGAGTAAGAGATTTTTTTTAATGTCATTAAAAGAAGTTACTTTTTCTGAAAATTGATTTTAAAAAAACACTACAATACGGAAAAAGCTTAGAATATTTTTCTTCGAAATGGATATAATTTTAAGTCATATGATATTAAAATACTAATTCAAAAACATGTGAAATAATTTTTGTTAATGATGTTTGATGAATTGAATGAAACATAATGAAAAAACTGAAAAAAAAAATTAGTTTAAGGATAAAAAAAAATGCAGAACAAAATAAGCAATGATAATTTTAAACCTAAAAAATGTGTAAACATTGTTACATTGATTGTAACATTGATACTAATAAAATGTGTTAAGATTACTTGAGTTAAAACAGTTTTTTTTTTAAGTTTTTTTTTCTTATTAAATTTCAAAAAAGTGTTATAAGTCTTGGGTTATTAATCTTAGATGCAAAATTCCAAATAAAAACATTTTCCTACCTCAAGGTATTGGGCTCTTTCACACTTGAATAGTAATTGTTTGCCTAGCATCACATTAAAATATTCCCTAATACCATTTATCGTCTCTAGTATAGCAGATTTTCTAAAAAAAGAATAATAAATAAAAGGATATTAGAATAAAATGCAGAACATTAACACGAAATACATTCAGAATTGTAATTAATAATAATATTCTAACAATAAAAACATGATTAAGAGTACCCAGAAATTTTACATTGATTATATAAAAACAAAGGCTGGAAATAAATATTTAATTAGTTTCAAAAGCATTAATAAACTCCAGCAAAATTTAATAACATAGACAGGAACATAAAAGATTTAAAAGAAATCTAATTGATAATAAAACCAATTGTGAATAATTATTCAATTAAAATAACAATTAACAATTATTTGTCCCGCAAATCACTGACGAATAACTTTTAAAATTTTTTTAAAACTATTTTTTTTGTAACTAGAGTTTTCAATGAATATTTAGATATGAAATAACAATAAGTAATAAATAATAATGACAAATTTTGAAATTACATTTCTGCCATACAGAGTAATATTTTGATTGAAATATATATTTTTTATTGAATAAGCAATGAATTTTACGATTTGAAGGAAAATATGCCAAATGTTACAGATTGTTAAAAATAAAATTTCTCTTGGTCACAGTTTTTAACAAGTTGATTATATAATACAGTGCCCGCCGCTAATAAAATCACCGGATAATAAAATCAGCCGCTTTATAAAATCAAATCGGCAAGAACCGAATCGTTACAATATTAATACATGTTAAAAACATCCTTTAATAAAATCAAAACCGCCGCTTTTTAAAATCAAAATTTTAACTACATAATAAATCAAAGGTGCACTATTTCAGCTTTTTTTGTTCTTATTTATAAAATTTTATTTTTTTGAAGTTTAAAGATTTTTTTAGAAGAAGCAACAGTTACTCACAAACCTGTGAAACAGGTGTGGTTAGCACTTTCCTGCTATATACATAGTGTAAGAGTTAAGGAAAAATGTGGGTGGTAAGCGACGAGTTCATAGAAATCAATTTATCAATGTTAATTCCTTCACTTGAATGAAGTTTGGAGAAACCTATCTCACTCAAAAGGGGTTGGATTCTTATCTTACTTTTTATTGAATGAACCATAGAAGGGAGAGAAGTTTCGTTTGTTATCTATCTTAACAGAGAACATGAATAGATTTCCAAAAACTGTCTGTGCGCATGTTCCATATTATTTAAGCCGTTTGAGTAAATTATAGTTAGAGCACATATCATTTTTAAGTTCGTTTGGCGCTAAATTTCCTCAGCATGCCGAAAAGGAAGGTTTTGAGTCTTAAAGATAAATTCGAAGTTTCTCAAAACTATGATAAGCTTCCTAAATGTAGTCAACCGTCAACCTGAAGCTTCAATGGAGATGGGGCTCATAACTGTTTCGAAAAAATGATCAGCAATGAAGAAAATGAAATGGACTAGAATTTTTCACATTATGTAGCTATTGACGATAACCTGCGAACATCAGGAGAAAAATCTGATTCTAAAATTGTTACAGACATCAAAAATTGCAAAGTTATTTCCCATCAAGAAATGGAGGAATCAGACTCAGAAGATGAAATAAACTCATCAGTGCCATCTTCAAAGGAAGTCAGAAAAGCACTTAATGTATTGCGGCAAGCTTTAGAACAAAGAGGAGGAATATCGAAAACTATAAAAACTTCTATAAACTCTCAAATGATGTTGAAAAGTTAATTTTAAATACTGCAACTCAAGCAACCATTGATCGGTTTTTTGCAAAATTTTTGTAAATTTAATCTTATGTAGGGTTTCACTTTATTAAAATAATTAAATTAGTTAAAATAAAGCATTAATGTGCTCATTATTTCAGCTTTTAAAGTGTGTGCATTTAGAATATATCGTAAATTTTTTTTTTTTCAAATGTTGAATCGTCCCTTAATAAAATCAGCCGCTTAATAAAATCAAAAGAGCATAAAGCGAAAGTTATTTTAATAAACGGCGGGCACTGTACATTATTATATAAATTGCTATAATCAAAACACCAAAATTTATATGGAGAGCTCAATATTGAAGCAGTGTTTTCACTACAGCGCGAGAATCTCGCATATTTGTTTCTTTTCTCGCATTAAAAAATGATTACCGCGAGAAATTCGCGCATTCTATAAATCAATTTCAAAATTCACGAATTTCTCTCATTTTGGTAAAAACTTCGAATTACGCCATTTAGAATAAAATCCGTTTATCTTTTCTTCCTGGATCTTTCATTACTTTCAACATCTTCCCCATTATCTAGCTTCCCTATTTATCAGTATTGTTCAGAACCTCTTCGAACAACAGAACACAACCAGGGAACCCCTTTCAGAATACATTTCTCTGCAACCACGTAGGTAAAGAACCGTAGGTAAAGAATCTTTATGTAAGACGTTCAAAATTTTTATGCACTTATGTAAGATGGACAAATACCTTGTAAAGGCAAAATCTTCTATGATGATGCACCAAAAATATTCAATGCTTTAAAAAATAGAAGACGTTAACAATGTATTATAATTAAAGAAATGATTTTTTTTCAAGAGTTTGTTTTTTTAGAAATCTCACTTAACTTTTTGAAATCTCACCCTGTTTTTGAGAAAGGGTGAGAAATTCTCACCCATTTTTTTTCTATGATGAAAACGCTGATTGAAGACATAATATTATTATACTGTAAATATGGCTATTCAAGAGAAATCACTTGCTATTATATATAATTTAAACAAAAAAGTTTAATTTCGAGTTATAAAAATGCGTATCTAATTAAGAACCTGTAATATTGTGACAAGCTTTAAAACTTCAAGATCTAAATTATTTCCGATATATAACTAGATGTCAAGAAAATTCTTATCGATTCTCCAGGTGAGCAACAAGCTGTACGCAACTATTCAATAATGACATCTCGGCAACAACTTTTGAAGGACTGAACAACCGAAATGAAGGTGTAAATTCAGTATATGAAAGTAAAGCAAGACAATGCGAACAAATCAGAAATAAAGCCACAAAAATAGATACACTATAATTTTTGTTCTACAATCAAGAATAAGTGGTTCATTCTATTTATTAAATTAATTATTACTTTAATTATGTAAAAAAAAATTCAAAATGATAATTAATTTAACTATTATTTAAAAACGTTATTGAGTGTATTTTTTAAGATTTAAATAAAAGTTACTTATAAACAATATTCAACAAAACATTAACAAGATTAATATTACTGATCATACCAAATTTATAAAAGTATGTAAAAAATTAAGCAAATTAAAAAATTTTTTATAAATTTATATCAGAAATGTTAAATTAGTGAGAGACACCTAATAAATTTTTATTAAAATTTGTTATTTAGTTCAGAATTTCTTTAATGAAATGAATTAGTTTTCGGAAGGACAAATCTGAACTAACATAAGATTTTTTACTACATTTGCTAAATGTTAAGATAGTGAAAAGCCTGTAAAATCATACTTTTTTTTAATAAAAATCTTACCTCTAAAAATCATATATTTATTCATAAAATAACTGAAGACCACTAAGAATTTTAAAAATAATAAAGTACAGTTAAAAGTTTTAAAAAAATTTATGAAATTATTAGTGGACAATCTCTCAAGTAAAAAACATCCTACAATTAAAATTCATAATTAATTATTTACTTTATTATAGACTCACAAAAAAATATGTAATTAGTGAATAATCTCCAATTTATGTTCAAGGATCATGGTACTGATCTATAAACAAAATATATTTCTGATAAAATTTAACAATATAACATTTATAATAAAATATAACATTTATGATAAAATATAGCATTTATGATAAAATATAACATTTATGATAAAAATTTTATGTAGTAAATGTTAATACAAAATAATAATTCAACAAAATTAATTAAAATTTTTTTTAATTAAAGTAGCTTAAAAAAATTTGACTAACTTATTGACTGTCATCCCTTTCACTGAGAATCTGTGTTTCATGTACTCTGACAGAATAGTCTCCACTGTTACACGTGCAGGTAGTTTGAAAAGCTGAAAAAGTTAAATATAAAGTAAGCATTATGAAAGATAGTTGAAGAAGTATAAGCAAAAAGATTATTATTTAAAGGAGAAATAAATAAAAACACAATCAAAATTTAATGAATCTTTGCTGAAGAACTGAAAATATGAGAAACTGTTTTTCAGAAGACACAAGGAGTTAAAAACCGATTACCTGACACAGAGTTATAATTAAACATATTTTTTATACTTTTTTTAAAATTATTTTGAAATAATAATAGTATTTAGCATTTTAATATTTAATTTCTGGTTATGAAATACAGCATAAAACATGGGTGTCTTTCTGCATGAAATGTAAAATTGTCTAAAAACGATCCAAATAATAATTTTTCAAATTTACACATATTTGCAGCTACTTAGATCTACATAGAAACTTTTAACTAAATCCACAATTTACTTAAATTTTTTTTCTCGTGATCTTTTGTACTCCTTTGGCTAACTCTTGTTTCCTTTTTTTTTTTAAATTTTCAGTTTTAATTTTCATACCTCACCTATACAGGTGGAGGCAAGGGAAAGCCAATGGGTTACTGGCATTTCCAACCTCTATACTTTCTTCTTTTAACAAAATTTTAAATAAATCCAATTTACGTTTTTTTAACAAACTTTTTAACTCAATCTGCAATTTACACTACAATTAGCTATATTGATACAATATTAGAGAGCACTCCTGTTTGTAGATATAATTGTGCAAGCTGATGAAGAGAGATCTTTTCATTATTTTTTTCCAGCTTTTTGATTATTTTTTTTAAATATTAAAAATATTTCATTTTAATAATTTTTCTTCTCTTTTCATTAATTTTAATTATCTTCCATGTTCTCTCTTTCTTTTTATCTACAGAGGGGGGAATCAAAACAGAGGGTCAAAACACAAGCCAGGGCCCACAAAGGGCTGTACAGCTATAGAAGAAGAGAAATATATATACATATAAATATTATTATCATTAACTTATTCAACATAAAAATGAATATTTTTTAAAATTGGTATAAAATGTGTAAATTCTATCTCAAATAATCATCTGTACACGTTCTTAAATTAAATAAATAATACAATTTCTGAATGAAAGCTTTCATCCCAAGGTTAATTCAAGTTAGTTAACGATAAAACATGAAACTTTTCTGTGAAATAGAAAGGAGCCAATAATACTGTTCAATAGGGTAACAATACATATTATTCATACTCTGGCTAAACAAGGTGTTCTATATTGACTACCATACTTGAGATTCATAAGTTTTCTTTTTATTTCATCGTTTTCCCCGTATAATTAGGTATGAAATATATTGCGTTATTTAACCATTGGTTTTGTTCATATTAGTTAACTTAGGAATTGTAATTATTTTTAAAAAATAAATACGAGAATTTTGTATTTTTTAAACTTGTTTTTCTTGTCTAAACTTGCAAATTTTTTTATTCTTTTAAATGTTATATTTCTACCTTTTTTTTTTCTTTTTAAAGTTAGGAGTACCTTTCTTTTTTCTCTTACTTTATGCATTACACTTTTTCCTTGTAATTCGGGTTCGATAAAACATCGATTAACGACACTTTTTGGTCAATCCAGAAAACCGGAAAATTCAGACATCCGGGATAGCGATGGTCCCGAGCATCCCGGATAATTGGTTCTCTACTGCACTACAACAAATTGCAAGTAAGTATATATTAAAAATGAAGAATTACTTTGCTCTGCCGTGTAACCAGATCCCAGTCATCAACTACCCAACGTTTCAACTCATCTGGAATTTTAATTTTTATCTCCATCTTCTGTGAATACTCTTCTTCCTAAGAAAAGATAAATAAATCCACATAAAACTTATTTGAAATACATGGCTGCCAACATGCAAAGGAAACAGTCCATATAAATGTCACAATAACTGCTAATTGTTAAGAAGTATTTGAAATATTTTTAACTCATTTATTTTTACATTTACTACATTTATTTTTTAATTCATAAATTTCAATAACAGATATTGAAATCATTTTAGATATTGAATGCATTCTTCAATAATATGTAGATATTGAACTTATTCTTCAATGAATTTAAGAATAGAGAGTAGCGGAAAATGATAATTTCAGAATAATGGGAAAAAAAGTTATTGAAATTAAGCATATTTAATTAGTTAGCAGTAATGCCGATATAAATATTCAAGCAAACAATGAATGAGCAGATAAAAAATCTATCTAAATAAGATTTTTTTTTCAATTTTAAGGAATTTTTTGAAATAAACAAAAGCTAGGAGAATGTTTTATTAAACCAGTAGACCAATAGAAAGTGGCAAAATCCAACATTCTACTGGAAAATCCAGTAAAGTTGGCAGCTACGGAAATATTAGTAAATAAGTTTTTTAAAAAATGGCAAAACAAAACAGGAAACAATGCCAAAGAGTAGGTAATAGCACATAAAGATCTAACATTTGATTTAACTTGACAGCAAAAGGATTAAATAAGAAAGTAAGCTTTGAATGAATTAGAAAGTTTTGAACATAAAATTTTGGTATATGATATAACATAATAACAAAAGGGATAAAAAGACAATAAAGTTTCGAATAATCTAAAGGTTTGGCTTATGATTTAAAATAACAGCAAAAAGAGTAATAAGATAAAATGCTTTGAATAAATAATAGAGAAGTTTTGAATAATAAAAAGCACACGGATATTATTTAACACCTCAAAAGAGGAAATATGGTAAAAAGCTTCAAACAAATAATAAAAAAATCTTGAATAACATTTTAATAAACTTCTGGCCTAATATTATTAGCAGAGCATGATTTCAATTTTCAAATCAGTAGCAATGATTGCCAGTATTGAAAAATACAACTAGCAAAATCAGGGTTCATTTGTGCTTCTTTTAAAAAGCAGTATTGCAATACATTATAGGATGCAGAGAACCTAACATAATCATTGCTGTGTGACTTAATGCAGAAAAATGATTACTGAATGGTAAATATTAAATATTTATACTCATATGAAAGTTTAAATACTCAATTGCACAATCCCAAATACATCAGTTGTAATAATTCATATTTAAAATCAAGAGATTTTTCAAAAAGATGTGAAAATTTCTGGGCCCAAGTAAGTCAACTGTAATAACTGCCGAGAAAATTATAAGAAAATGACGCTGATTTATGGCAGCATAGTCGCAAATTTAGTGTGTCAAAAAGTTATTAGTCAAATTTAAAATTCATGTGTCACAATAACACCATATTAAAAATATTGTTATCTGAAACAGATTATAAAAACAAAAAATAACAGAGAAAATGGTTGAAAAGTGATGTGCATCAACAATGAAATAAAGTCGCAAATAAAGCAGGGTTCTTGCTCAATTATTTCAAAAAAAAAAGTAGGACTTTTTTAGCACTTTTTTAGGACTAAGAAAAAAAATTAGCACTTGATGTAAAGTAAAAATAACATACTTAATCTATACATGATATTAAAAATGTACAAATAAAGTGTAACGATTCATGAAGTAAAAATTGCGTAATTAATCTATACATGATGCAAATTGCGGCTTAATTTTGTCACAATCTTTTTCCTCAATTTTCTTTTTCTGACTTAAGTAATTTAATATGTTTCTCATTTTTAGAACACACTTGCTTTTGCTTTCTGACATTAATTTTGGATTGATGCAAGCAACATTTCTTACAACAGAATAGTTTATTGGACATTTCTCCAGTAAAGTTTCGAACATTTTGGTGATAAACTTCCTGCAATCTTTCTTTATATTCATATGATCCTGGTCAGAAATAACTTTTGAGGCCAACAGCTGCTTTACAATTTGGTCACCTTTAAAACCTACACTGATTTTTGTCAGAGAGACATAATTCCTTTCATCACAAAAATTAAAATGGCACAGTTTCTCCAGAGAATTTAAGTTTTCTATAGATTCTGGCTTCAGAATGTTATATAATTGCACACTATGTAATACCAAATCCTGGATATCTGCAGCAAAAAATGGTAAAAGTGGCCGATGTGTTTGATACAGTTTCAAAAATGGTGAAACTAGCTCCGACACATTTAAGAAAAAGTTCAGCTTAACAAGAATTAATTTGTCTTTTATTGCTTCTTGTAAAGTTAAGAAGGATTTACATTTCACTTTTCTAAACTTGCCAACATTTTTCACATAAGATTTCAGATCATTCCAAAGCAATATTGCTCTTTCAGCTGCAGGTGCATTTTCCAGCCAACGGTGGTTGCAAAATCTTAGTGGTAATTTGTTCTCAGTTGATTGATTAATAAAATCTTCTTTTCTTGTCGGTGAATCTTTAAAAAGATAGAAGATTGAGCTCAGGATGGAACCAATGAGCCATTCTGTTTTAGATTCACCTTGTAGAATGCATTATTTAAAATATGAAGCCCACAACTTCCTATTGCATTGCATTGAACACCATGTTCTTTTAACAAATCTTCTTGAATATTATTATAAAACTTCCAATTGACAGCAGGACCGTCCATAGAAATCTGCAATAATTTCTTCAGGTCTACATTTTTGACTGATGAATAAAAGCAGGCTAAAAGGTCATCTGCTGCAGAATGGCCCAGAAAAGCTGATGTTAAGTATCGCGCATCTACAATGTTCTTATGTGGGTTCCAAAAGTGGATATGTATATCCAACTGCTTCTGCTGTGTCGCTTTGTTCAAAGACTCATCAAAAAGCAATGTATAAAACTTGGCATTATCAATGCACTTCAGAAGTAGCATGCTAAAATGAGGTGCAAGTCCAAAATGACAGAGATATGCACACTTAGATTCACTGCAGGCGATATGACGTGCTATTGAACTGTCAGGAAGCATTGTACTAAATAATTTTCCAGTGTCTTTGGAAGAATTGTAGGAGTAGTAGCTTTCTACAACTTTTAAAGCCCATAAAATCTCAGAAGAAAGAACTTCTTTCCCCAAAGCCCAAGAATCTTCTAAAAAGATGGAGGCAGCAGAAGAGCCGAAGGCAATAGAATTTAAGGAAACCGATTTAAGGAATCCGACCGCTCAAAAAAATTTTCAAAATGCCAAAATAAAAAATATTTAGCACTTTTTTAGCACTCAGAAGAAATTTTAGCACTTTTTAGGCCCTAAAAAAGTTGGGGGAAATTTTAGCACTTTTTTAGGACATTTTAGGACAGCAAGAACCCTGTAAAGTATATGGGAAAGTGATAACTCTAATTCAAAATTCAGGTGTTGAAATAAGATTCAGTTAAAAATATTGAAATTTGAATGACCATATAAAATGCCATAAAAACAAAAAATTACAAAAATGACTGCCAAGAAAACGGCATAGATCAACGAGGTAATAGATGTGAATCATGCACATCTAAAAGTGATTACTCAAATTCAAACTTCATGTGTTGCAATATCATAGTATTAAAAATACCGAAGTTTTAAAAATTATGAGGAGAGTACCAAAAAAATTATCAATAAACATCGAAAAAATGATTGAAAAATGGCAAAGATTTACGATAGAATCGTTGTTAATTGAGAGCATCAAGAAGCGATAATGCTAATCCAAAATTCGCATAACGTAACAGCATCACAGTAAAAATATTGGAATTTGAAAAATCCTACAAAAAAGAGAATTGAAAAAAAAATTATCCAAAATCCAGAACATCAAAAGTTAATTTCTGCTACTATGTTCTTCTGTAATTAGCAATTTGCTACTTGCTAGTGAACAAAATCATGTCATGATTATAAGATTGCATTTTATCGCAATATTATTTTCCATTTGAGATATAATGTAAATTAGAGGAAGTTACATAAATTTATAAAGACAATTATAATGAAAGTTATATTTTTTTTCAATGTACATACTACTATCTTGCAAATAATAATGTAATCTGGCAAAATTTTTATAAATACATGCATAATCTGGATATATTTTGCACAATAACTTCCTATATAATGACATAAAAGAATATAATTCCTATATAATGTCTAAGATTAGAAATTAAATCACCGTTTCCACATTTTGTTCAACCGTCCTCCGCTTCTTTCTTTGCGGATCAGTTGGGGTCTCAGGCACTGATGTTGGAAGTGGAGGTGCAGCTGCAGAAAATTAAAATATTCATTAATAAATTAACAAAATATTTTTAAAATTACAGAAAAAATGTGTTTACTGAAAAATACTACTTCCAAAGAAATTAGAATCACTGCATGCGGTTACTAATTAATAATTATGCAGCAGGGTTCAAAATAAATGACAGTCTTTTGATTCAGTGCTACTAAAATTTGACACCATAAAATAATTATCAATGGTCATTCGAACCAGAGTTTAATGTAAAGGTTGCTCGGTTTATTATTATTTTTTTCCCCTTCCGTTTCATGATTTTAGTTTGTGTTATTGTCACAAAAAAGCACATTTCATCATAATTATAAACATTACAGAATCCTCGTAGTGTAGTTTTCATTTAAATCCCTTTGCTAAAATTTTTTTAAACAAAATATGTAAAGAGATATGCAAACGAACTTGTGAAAATATGTATGGACTATTATCTTTTAGTACAGATCAGTATCTAAATTTTCTCAATTTCTATACCAGATACAGTAAATCACAATTTTAAAATTTTTAATTTTGTAACAATCAAACAATATAAAAAAAACAATGACAACATTGAAGCCAATCACTGATTAAGAACTAGCAAAATAAAAATAAATATTTGCAGATTTATTCCATTATGTATAGATTATAGACCAGGGATGGCGAACCAATGGCACGCGTGCCATTTATGGCACGTGACACAATATTTTGGGCACCCCACCCATCACTATTGTTNGTTATAGACTGTATAGATAGAAGATTATAGAATGTTATGTATAGATAGAAGAAAATGAATCTCTTTTTGAATATAAAAATAAAAGTTAAGAGTAAGTGTTGTTTAAATTATAACAGTAGCAAAAAGTATAGAAAAACTGGATACCTTGCTAATTGTCAAAACATATAATAGATTTACTTGCTTTTGAAAAAGATTGTTATGAAATAGCTACCTTCTTTTGTTTTCTGTTTCGGAGTTTTATCTTGAGGTGGAAGAACAGAACTTTCTCTGTCAGATGAATCTTTTTTTGAATTGGCCTTTGCTGGTTTTGCCTTCTTACCAGTACTACAAAAAAAGGTTGTATAAATACTTGCAAATGCTTATTCAGGGTGTCAACAATTCAAATACTCAGAAAAAATTTCTTTGCCTCATATTTCCAGACTTTTTCTTCGCAATTTTTTGTAATCAGGGTCATACATTTTTCAGTTATGCCATATTCCCAATCTATAATAAAACACTTAAACTAGCTATTAGAGTTCAATTTGTTTATAATGTTTAACCCTCAAATTAATTCAATTACCCTAACATTTGGGGTATTTTAATTAAATGCTCAGACATTTCCTCAATTTTTCCACATATGTAGAATTCCCCAACTTTTTCCTGTTCACCCCTATTTTCTTGTTTTGTTGTATTTTTGATACAAGATGCAACATGAAAGTGAACTTAATTATCTTAGACTAGTGCTGGATGGTTTCAGAATTTTAATATTGTGACTTTAATTCACAAACTAAATAGGGAAATTAAAAAACTGAAGTTTGCAATTTGGGACAATTTGTCTCTCTACTTTACAATGCAATAATACTGACCCATGTGCTGCAGCTAATTCTTTCTGTTTTTGCATATTAGCATCATTGAACTTCAAAACTCTACTTTCAGGAACCCACTCGTCCCAACTGAAAAAAAAAATACATAATTTAGAACCATAGTTATTTAAATCTACCATATATAAATAAAAAATACATGTACCACTAAAACTATAATTTATTTATAACATCACCAATACATGATTAGAAAAAATACTGCATTTTCAAGAAAAAGAGAAGAAGAAAGAATAAAGTCTACCTTCTAAACTATCTTTTCTGCTCTGTCCAGGGTTGGCAAGTTTTTGACGCGTGACGGTTTTTACACAGGGTTGGCAAGGTTTAGGACAGAATGGATTAATCCACGGTTTAAACCCTGGTTTAAACCGTCCTGTCCGAAGCCCCTTTGTCCAAAACCCTTTTACTCAAATTATGTCACAATTTTATCTGAACAATATTTAGAAGGTAAAATAAACATAGAACTAATAACATATTGATAATTAAATATACTGGAGAATATTTGTTTTTGAAAGTATAATGTTTTATTAATATTGTTTGACTCTTTAATTTAAACAAAGGAAGATTAATCAGTAATCAAGTTCAATTGGTCCTCTCATTCAATAGTACATAACTGAAGTTTGGCCTTGCCATACAGGTTAAAATATTAGGGACTAAGTGCTTGGTTCGTCATAAACAGGTTTATTTATCTATAGTACTATTCAAGAATACTTTTATTTCATTCATGTTCAATTCTTTTAGCATAGTGGTGATACATCACCAGTGTCAGTAACTGAAACTGATGTTATGCCCTTCAAAACT